TGTTTAGAAGAAATTTACAAATATTACCTTGGCTTATGACTTCTAATACCAAGATAATTTATTCGAAAACGAGATTTTACCTGAAAAACAATTTAAAACATACCAAATTGTACTGCGTTGTTTTTTGCATGTATTTTTATTTAAGTTCATGAAACGTCGCACTACGTATCGCGATCGACTCAAAATCCTTCGTTCTAAAAGTTAACACTTTGTTATGCAAATTATATCAATTATTCCACAACAACTAAAAAAAATAGCCTTACATGTAGTTCACATTTACATTGTTTTCATTTGCAATTCCGCTTACCATGTGTGGGATATGGCAGATCGATACCCACATGAACCGTGGATGTTACGTAACGAAAGAGAATACCAATTTCCAGATCACTCAAAAGACCAGAGTTTGCTGAAAACAATAAAAAATTCATTTGTCTCAAGATGAACTTAAAAATTTCAGCGCGAATTTAATCTGCTAATAGAAAATGATTCCAGAATGCGGATGACAGAAATCTTCATAACACGAAATTTAGATCCATGTTTTTATTCGTTTCATTATTTCTCATAACAACTCACTCATTTCTTCACCCTCCTATTATAGGACTCAAAATTATGTATTTTCTTACCTGCTTCACCCAGTTCTTCAACAGTCATTGTCGGAAATCGCACATCATTGAGAACATCGTCAACAACGAGGCGTTTGTTTTCTGATGTTTCATCAATTCCACGACGTTTACATTCCTGAAATCAATGATTTTAGTTTTTTTTTTTTTCAAAACTCTTCAAGGTGTTTTATCTGCAATAAATTTTCACTGTTAAAAATAAAAACAAAAATTAAAATATACCGCTGTTGCCCAATTACACACTGCTCTAAAAACTGACAATTCCCCCGACGGTGAGAGCTCTGAACGTTTAACCAATTTTTTCAAGGTGTCAATACTGATATTGGCAAGTGCTGAAAATACGAACAATTATTCAATTATTCTAAACGATATGAGAAGCGGAGATAAAGAAGGAGAAGAGAAAAGTGAATGGTACTATTTCTTCATGCAACAAGTTGCGTAAAACGTAATCACTTTTGATTTTGATATAGTAGAATCAAACTTAATAGACCTCAATTATGATTTGATTTTGACTTTAACTGAAGTTATAAATAACGTTTAATAATATAATTTAAAATCATTATAACAACATCCTCATAGGAGATCTATGAAGCATTTTAAAACGCTTACAGTCCGATGAAAGCGCTTCGTCGCTTCGTTCATCGATAACTTGATGACATCGTTCCAGCAGTTCTTCAGAACCAAAATTAACCGCTTGTTCCAAAAGTGCGACTGCTAACGACGGTGTCAATTCACCGAGCAGTTCAACACAATGTTTTTCTAATGCTGCTATTTCGAATTTTTTTGCTATAATATGGCACTTTCATTTCAATTCACCCAATAAAACTAAAAAAGATAGCAACAAATTTATAGCTAAAGTAAAAAATGAATCTCACAAATACTTACCAGCATAAAGTGTGTTAAGCACAGCTGATTCTGCAATTTTAATCGCAGTTTCGTCGAAATCCGAATAAATATAATCAATAATTGTTTGAAACGCAACTGGATCAACATCAGAGAAGTATATTGTAACTACCGGACAGTTCAAATCTGCTACAGAAAAACTTAAAAACATTATTCGAAAATCAAAATCTATGGAGTGAACGAATATAAACTACTTTCACATCACGAGTTGAATACTAAATAAAAATTATCATGAATATCATTAAGTAAAATGTAGCATCACGTTACAGATCTCAATATTTATTGCAATGTTTGCAGTGCGAAGCAAACGATTGGAATGAATTTTAGTTTTTACATTATCACTGAGATCTGAACAGGATAAAATGAGAGTGTATGAATGTTGAAAAAAATATTAGTGCTTAAAATTATTCTGCTTATGCTTACGTCCTTTCCGTTTCTTAATCATTGGTGACGAAGATTCAGCTTCACTGAAAAGCATTCTCTCAAGTATTTTTGACCCTGCAGCCATCACAATACGATGCACTTCGAAATGCTGCAATAAAGTACAAGAATAACGAAAGGCAAGAAAAATATAAACTGTAAATCAGGAGACGATATGAATACTGTCAAAAAAGTTAAACAGCATTTAAGTAGAAGTGAATCACAACTTTCCAGCAAATGAACTTTTAAAAATGTTGGTAAAACATTCATTGGCTATTAATGCAGTGTAAGAAAAGATGTTTATAATCATTGGAAATTGCTCGAGAGAATGAAAGTGTGAAAGAAAATTTTACCTTACTTCATTCATAACAAATTTCATCTTTGATATTTTTTACAGATTGAGATAATAATCTCAGTTCAAAAAATTTTATTCATTGTCATTTTTTGCAAACATATTACCGATGAAATGAACCACAGAAATTCATTAATTTTAAAATCATCAAGAACTGTTACAATAAATACGCACACTCATTTATAAAAGGAAATTAAGTGGATATAACTAAGTTTATCAGTACTAATGCACTAAAATATAAAGTCGAAGATATTACTTACTGCAGTATTTGATGTTGCACCAATCACAAAATCAACATCAAAACCAACGCCATTGGCTTTGAGAGAGGTAACACGTTCTGCTAAGCTCGGTTCTTTTTTATTCACCTCTTTGATAACTTCAATTTCCATTTTTTTCGATGGCTCTTCAGGTGGCGGCATATCATAAGCAGACAATGGACGATTTGTTGGAGGCGGTGGAATTGGCAGTTGCTGAAGAGAATCTGCCCCTGGCGTGGAAGCAGCCGCCTGAGAAACCTCAAATAATTTATAAACTCCGTTATTTTCTTACAAGGAAAATTAAGATCATATTTCGTAAATTATTTTTCTGGATATTTTTCCAACAGGACAACTAATGATCATTCTTACATCCATTAATTAAATTGCATAATGATAATCTAAGTAGTGACAAAGAAATGTTGCCCATCATCTGGGAATGAATTTTGAGAGTAATCATAAACATCAAAACGATTAATTATTCAAGATACCATTTGAGTCACTGTCGTATTTCCAGCAGTCACATATGAACTGCTATTCAGGTAAGTTCTACTTACTCCAGGTGATCCCGACATAGAGGGTACTGCTCGATGAGTCGGTGGTCCAACTGCACGATTATACGCTTGATTTCCGTTCGATGCAATTCCTACAGTTGATGGTGGCGGTTGTGAGTATGGTCGAGGTTGTTTTGGTCTTAATGATCTGAAACCAAAAACGAAGCATGTGCAAAATAAGTCAAAAACTTTCATCTTCTTTATTAGTCGGTTTTTCTGCATGGTTATGCTTAAATAATGGTAGAATACAAAGCAATAATGAGAAATCAAACTAAGCACTCTAGGTAAAGATATACTATATTATTTGTCGAGATTACAAATTATTGATTAATTGATTATTATCTTAGAGTAGTACACCTTTAACAATGTATAGCAACTATCCATTTTGCTCGCTCATATTATCCTCGAATTACATTGCTTATTCTGGAACTACTAATTCAATATACCAAAATACGAATGGTCACGTAACTTACCCATCGAATCCCATTTCTTAGTTGAAATTGTTCAAGTAACGAATCACCTCACCACTATTCTAAAAATTATTTCATCAGAATCATTAAGCAATGGCTATGGCGGCTTACTTTCAAAAGTACAAATTTCGAAATAATCCATCATTATGAATTCTGTAGCCGTAATTATGAATCCTACAATTATCTACAGTTATGAATTCCGTAATTATAAAAAAAAAGTACAAATTATAAACAGATATGATTGATTTGCCTACAATGACCGTTGGAAATACATACAATATAGACTAAGGAATGGTCAGTAAAGACCAGCTCAAAAAAGGTCAAAACCCCCACGCCCACAACAAACCCATCCAAATGTAAATCATGTTGGTCCAATGTCCCCGCATGAACCTCACGATCAATAAAAGAGAAAGGGCCGAACCAAATCTTCCGGTATTTTACAGATGCCCTTCTCGAGATACAGAGTAAAAGGGTTTTTTTTTTTTGAAAATATCTTAACCTTTTCACCTTATCTGGTATGTGGGTCAGAAACCTGAACTCAGAACCTGAACTCTAACTGAATGGGATATCTTGCAAAGAGTACAGTTGCTATCACTGACACCTTTAAGTGCTAATAAATAAATGCAAGTACGAAAATTTTTCGTATTGTAAAAATTTGCATGAAAAATTTTTTCCTCATATTAACATTTTTTATAAAATTGAAACATTAAATCTGCTACAATTAAGTCTACAAGTAATTAAGCAATGAATAATATGGCTTTCTTTGCAATGATTGCTTAAGAAACGATTGGTAAACAGTTATCATAAGAAATTACTGTACAACTGTACAGTAATTTCTTATGATTTATATCAGTTTAATACCCGTATAATATCTGACATTTGTCTGGGGTCAAGTTTTCAAATAACTGCTTTACTTTTAGTTTCCAAATTCATCGCTAGATTTCGAAATTATAAAAATTTCCAATGTTGTAACGAAGGGCTGTTAATTTTCAATATATTATTACTGCAGGAATTTGAAATTGTTGTTAATTGCATCGATTGGCATTTACGAGTGATACGAAAAACAGAAGAAACAGTATTCAAGCAGAGTAATATCGTCATTTATTCAGATGAGATCATTTATTTGTTATCTCATTTTTCCCTGTTTTGTTTTAGTTTTTTTAATGCACTCAGGTAATTATTAGCATTTTCCAAAAAATAGTTTTTCAGATTTCATAAAGAACAGTAAAGATTTCTGGAAGATAGAATTCAAAACTGGTGAGTGTAACATTAACAGTGATATCATTCTGTCTATTATCTATAACAAAATTCTTCTAGGAATACCTTGTAATTTGTAATTTGGACAGAAAAGTTATTTTGAAATAATCAACTGTTTAGGATTTCAAAAGGTATGCCTATTCTGTACTGATCTTTTTTTTTTCAATCGTTTTTAGGATAACGAATTAAAGTCAAGAAAGAAACATAAACCGACAAAAGTATCTTCCCAATACATCAGAAAAAACAGATTAAAACAGAGGTGTAAGCAGAATATCGATGGCTGTTCATAAATAGTGAGTATACAATAATGCTTGTATACTTCATATGCAAACTGATGGAGTATACAAGCATTAGCAAGCTGATGGAGTATACAAGCATTATTTGCTTGTTGTCACCAGACGTTTATGGGTGAACCTCCAATCAGCTATGGTTTGGATGCTGTTCATCGCCTGCATTCTTTCAATTTCCATTGAAAATCAGCAAAGTAAGTTATAATTTAAGTAAAAGATATAATTACAGGATATCTAATTATAATTTAAGTAAAAGATATAATTACAGGATATCTAATTAAAGTATGAAGTTTTCACTTGCAATGCATCCCATATTTTCTTTATATAACTGAGTATATCATTCATATTAGTTTAGGATGTTATAGAATATATCAAAGTGTATGATAGATTGTGATATTTGAACAAATACCTTCAAAAACAATCTTTTATGTTATAAAATTTTTACATTAGTAAAATAGAACTAAATTATTCAAAGTTATGATTTATCTAATTCTTTTTATTTTTATATACAATACTGTATTATGTTTTCACTTTCATTATCACTTATTACCACTACCACATCATGGTACGATATGTCTTCTTCATCGAGTATTTGGAAATGATAAAATTAAATATAAAAAATATAAAAAACTTCTAAATTGTTTATAAGCTTTCTTTTTCATAATAGTAGCCGTTTTATGCGCCTGTGTGGATCGAGCACCGCCAAATAAACCATCTTCTTGTCCACAACTTGCGCATCTATGTAATAACTCGTTGTATTATGAAGTAATGGCATTGCAATGTCCGAAAACTTGTCATCATTGTTTGGAAAATGCCACTCCCAGTAAGCACTTCTACATCTTACATTTTTAAATCAAAAAATCAAACTACAGCACTTTGAAATTTAATTTTTTAAGTTGAAATATTATTATCATCATTACGACTTGATCAAAAATTTAATTTTACATGTAAAAATTTTAGGTATATGCCAGGATAAAGCACCACCCAATGCACCGTCCCAATGTCCCGACTTTGTTTCTCTGTGCAATGATCCATTGTATCGGGATCTGTTAATTCAAGAATGCCCAAAGACTTGCTCTCGTTGCTGAACAGTATGCTTTAGCAATAACAACATATATAGAAAACCGTTTTTTTTTTAATTACAGAACTGCTCTTGCTTAACTTTTGATCATTAAAAACGTAATTATTGATGGCATTATCATATCATTTCAGTACGCTTTGGACATAGGACTTCAAATGATTAAGTAAAACATAATATTATAAACAAATCAGTTATTTTTTGTCGAACTCTTGTAGTTTTTTGCTCTCCTGAAGAATTAGTGATAACATTATCCCAATGTTGCAATAGACAGCACAACTGAACGATAAATAAAGTTGTAAAATTTCGAAAGTTATGCAGTGAAATGAAGTTTGTGTGCCACTAAAATTCAAAAGAGATAACAAAACCGCATTACGCTCAATGTTTGTATGTTTGGCAAGTAGAAGGCTTTTCCCGAAATTTTATTTGATTGCTTAATTCCTCCATATCAGCTTAGAATATCCTGTGACAACTTTTACATTTCATACGCTTTTTTAACTTAAAATTTTTGAATTTCATAAATTTGCATAGATCAATCAATGTTGTGAATGTGTTTTGGATTGGGTTGATTTGAGATTGGTTTAATTTGAATTGATTGGATCTAGCTTGATTTGACCTCAAGTACGGTAACTAATTGGATTGTTCGGTGCAAAGATTATTTTTAGTGGAATTTCGAGCTTGTTCTCGGCAATAAAAGCCAGGAAAAAGTTTGTCATAGTCCAAACTTCAGTATTCATTGATGATGAAAGGTTAGGAAAAACAATTCGTTGTATTATGATCTGATGACTGAATTAATATATATTTTCTTTAAAGAACCATAAATCCAAAATCAATACAATAGTTTTTTGAATGAAAAATATAGGATTTTAAGTCTCTTCCCAACTTTTTATCAACAAATGAAATTTAATCTAAGTAATATGCATTGAATTTTGTTTCATAGCACTTACAGCAGACCACTAAAATATTATTCCATTCTGCCTCTGTTAGCAATTACACTGTTTATCAATAAAGAAATTGCTTTGAAATCATCAGATTATGAAATAAAAGTGAAATTAGCATACAAACTTTTGATTAGAAGATTTTAGAAATAAAATAGAAATAACGAATTGGTTTTTTTTTTCTTTGAAGGAAATTTGACAAACACGGTTAAATTATTACAGAATGCATTTAAATTGTTTTGAATTAATTTCTTGATGCAAAAATTTGTTATAGAGATTGTAATTTTTTAGAGATTATAATTTCAATGTGTTCTGTTCGCCCGATTATCACTGCAACAATGTAAATAAGTATATCACAAAAATTAGCGCTTATCATTAATTTTCAATTTTTTAATATCCATATATGGTATGCCGAAAATTCGAGATAAAATAGTGAGAATTTAATAACTTACTCCTAGAAATCTATAACGGTTTTTTTCCCCCAAATAACTTATTTCTTGACCTTTTGCAAGTTACCGCTTCAAAAATGACATACAAAACAAGGTTAAAGATCATGACGATTCTTGTTTGCGGGATCCAACCAATTGCAATTGAATAATAAACAAAAAGACATTTTTATCCGAATTTTTTCCAAACTTATTGTTTTCATATTGATTACTTTGCTCAGAAATCGTATGAGTTTTGATGAGAATCTGAATTTTCAAATTTTATACAAATATTTAAAATTATTACATATTAATTTCTCTCTTACAAATTACATTTACGAAGAATGCCTTCAAGAAATTATTCGATCAATTTGACTTATGAAACCTCATTTGTTACCAAAATCATTACCTTTCTAAGGCAATTGATTATCATTGATCACTTCTAGAATTCAAAGAGTAAGCAATCTATTCTCTTTTAAAATATAAATTTAATAGTAGAAAAAAAAAACAAAACAAAACATCATGCAGTTTATTGCTGAAATGTTCAATTCATTAACTATTACAATTGAATAGAATGAATTTGATGAATGCTCGATGTTATCATGCATTATCAGTACCATTGATAAGTGATAAGCAGTACTGAATTAATAGCACATTTGCTCTTTTCGTACCACACTAACAGAATAGCATTCAATAAAACTATCCACACATGAAGTACGAAAAAAAAAAGCTTAGAATGAAGAAATATTAACAAATATACTTAAGTTAAACTGGTACGTTGTTATGACTTTGAGAACAACATAAAAATATCCGGCGTCTACGTAATTTACAGTATATACTATTTATACCGTACACGCTTTATTTTTGTCTTTACATTGCTCTATAAAGATAGCCGTGATAAGCATTTCTTAATAATAACGTGACATAATGACGTAGAAATTAATAGATGAATGGGATTCCTTTTCGAGATAACTGCGGAATGAATATCTTTTTAAGCAATGATCATTTCTCTACTTTACTTTTTACAGCTTTTAAGGATTATTTGAGGTACGCTTATAAAAATTATTATCAATTAAAGATTCAATAGGTCGAATTGATGGTTGTCGTAATCGTATCTCAATTGTTGGTGCCAACAACGATACAAGATATGCTTGCGTTCGACTGAAAATGAAAGAAAATATCTGAGGTAAAAGTAAAACAAAAACTAACAATTGATTCAATCATTAAATCTAGAAAAAAATTTCGAGAAATTTTAAACAATTTTCGAGTAAGTATTTGTTTCAAAAATTTCAATTAAAAATTAAATGTTTAAATCAGTTTTATTTTTTATTTTTTTGTTTAAACATTTTAGTTGACAAAATATTTCCCAAAATATCACTAACTGATATAACTAAAAACTTTAAACATTTATTGAACTACATTAAAGCAAGATTACAAATTATACATTTTAAAATTTAAGCTTGAATGTTGAAATTTTTACATACCCGCTAGCTAGCATAACATTGCCGGATGATCGAGAAAATCCCAATTCCTCCTCGTCAATATTCCTCATTAAATGCTGACAGCGATCCTCGGTGGAACTCAATGATGATGACAATTCCACTGATGATCGATGTCGACATTCAGTGCTATTACGTGAAGGACAATTGATCGCATTATTGTCCATGTAGAAATTAACGTGTAACACGCCAATTGGATAAAATGAACGCTTCGATATACCAAATAATGTATTAGTATTGAGGCCATAAGATCGTAGCTATAATATATCAAATTTAATTTGCAATCAATTTACATATAATTGAAATTAAACAAATTAAACTGAATACTAAACTTTTTTGGCAAAAATCTAATATTTCATATCTAAAAATTAACACATGAAAACAGTTTTCTCTCTGAGAAAACGAACATTAAAATATTTTGCTAAAATTTGTAAAAGAAAAAAATGCAATTTGAAAAAAAAATCAAAGCTTAAAAGCGCTATGAGTAAATTGAAAAAGAAATATGAATTTAGAAAAAGAATCAATTAAAAGTGATTCATGCAAGATCAATATTTTGGATCAATAACGGCCGTGAAACATGAAAAATTTTTTCTAACGATTAAATCAACAATATCAAACAGTTTTTGTCAAATAAGAGCCATTTTTATGTGTTAATAAGTAAGTTTTATTACAAATTAACGAAAAAAAAAACATGATAATTTATCGCAAGCATTTTATCTGTATCGATTCATTGAAAAGCTCAGTGAAATTTTAGAAATTCAAAAAAAAAAAAACAAAAGCAAATTCATTCAAATATAAAAATAAATTTATATTCATGAACAAACCTTCAAATTTACTTTACCATCAGTAATTAAATGTGAATAAAAAGCATCCGTTTCACCGATCACATCACCGTTTGCAGCGTTTCGAAGCGTAAAATAAATGATCCTAAACGTTATTATTTGTCTTCCATTTTGACAAACGATAATTTAATCATTCATTCATTCATTTTTGTAATACAATAATTCAAATAAAAGAATTATTATTTGATATGAATCTGATGGATATTTTTAGATGAATAAATGTGAAATCAATGCTTTTCACATCATTTCAGGGTTCAATGAAACAGGTCAAACAATAATTCTAAGAACAAAAAATGCAAACAAACATGCATATTATCATATAATTAATCATTATCTATTTGAAATGAATACAAGTAAGTTATAAAATAACGAGATTGCTAACCTATCCTCAATTCCATTCAGCAATCTTTCGCAGGAAATAACAATTTCCGGAAATTTATGCAAACTTGTTGGGGTGATTTCGATCGTTTTTGGAGATCGATAAACAATAATGTTGTCTTCTTTTAAACTCTTCCTAAAATTTATAAAATCATAGAGGGAGCTTAGTTAGGCTTAGTTTCAAGTCTAAAAAAAAGCAATTTAATAGAATGGAAAACTGTAAACTAAATGATTTTAAAAAGAAAAAAAAGTTTGTTCCAGTTATTTTACAAAATTTTTTCTATTTTTTTATTTTTAAATTAATGAGAAAGAAAATTAGAAAAGACAAGCAGAGAATATTTTTTGAATAGGAGCAGAGTTTCTTTTTTTTTTCCTCAAAAGTAATTTCTAAATTGTGGGTTAGAGAAAAAATAAAAATAACTTTATCAGGTTAAAAATAGCACATTAATTCAAAAGAGTTACTAGCATTCATAAAAATTAAATCTCCACTTCATTAATCAATTATAATTGAAAATTAAATTAATATACCACAAAATATTCACCTATGAATAGTGAGGTAAATTTCTAAGTCAGTATATTTCATTTTACCCCGTTTTTCCAACTGTGAAACAGAAATTTCCATACGGATTTGCTTTTCAGAAAAAGCGCGATCAATTGATATACGTTCCGATATCACTAAATAAATTTTCAAAGAAAAAAAAAATGAACTGAAAATAACAATTCGAAGTGATAAAATTATTAATTCAAATGAAAGCATTCAGAAAGAAAATAAACGAATAAATGTTGAAAAAGCAAATTTGAAAAAAAAAAAAACAAATAAATGAAAAAACTATAAACAAGTGGAGATAATTTAAAAATAATTAATGAAAGTGGAAATACCTGTAAATCTACCAGATGATCCTTCTCGAAACATTTCATCTTCCATCTCCGATAATCGTCCCCGATGTATCATAGCGTTCAATTCACACTCCAAAGAATCAACAAAATTCCATAATAAAAATTCATTAGAGCTACGGAAACGTACAATTGTGTCGGAATTTCGCCCTGAATCTGAACCAATCGATGATGACATTAATTTATCAGCACAGAATCTGCAAAAAAAAAAAAAAAACAATAATCATTGTTGAAGAATATAATTAACCTTTTCATCTCATTAGATAAAAATAAAATTCACAAAATAATTTACTAACTATTATTGATTATTACGGGGAAAGAATTTATTACTAAGTCAAACTGTAATTTGAAGTATGATATAATTTGTGCTGCTAAGTTTATTCGAATTTCTTATTTTATCTAAATTCAATTCATTTCAATTTAAATTTGATTTATTTGCAAGCAAGCACTCTATGTTAACTAATTTTTTTGATATTAAAGGAAAAGATATTAATACAGAATTGGAATTTTTCTCCTCTCTCAATCATACATTAACTTTTTTGAAGGAAAAAAATGGAAAGAAAACTTTTAATTGTCTAGAAAAATGATTATCGTTGTATTGCAGTAATAAAAGGAATTGGAAATGAAAAATTTACAACACGAAATAAAAAAGAATATATGAATTTGAATTCAAGTTCTCCCTTTTCTATATTATAATTCACTATGACTTAAAAAAAGCAAAATTTTAAAAAACAAAAAACATTAATCAAAAAAAAAAACATGAATAAAATAAAGCACAACGATTCATTTCATATCACCTCGAACATTTAAAAAAAGAAAAAAAAATTTAAACGACTCGACAAACGACCATAGCCGTCTCTTTCTCCCTCTTCTCTTTCTATCTATCCATACTTTTTAATATGCAAAAATTTATGCATAAAATTTATCAATGAGATTTCAAGCCCATATTTGTTATTTATCAAGGATCGATTAAAAATTAAAAGTGCGACATTACCGCAAATTCTTTATTGACTGTACTTTGTTTACAAAACTAAAATTATTCGCTTTACTTTTAATTGTTTCAATCTTAATTCCTCTTTTTTCTTATTTAATTCTCATAATTTATAAGTTACAAACCACTTGAACATCTTACAACAAACATTTTCAAATTTTTCATATCATTTCTATCAAATATTTAATTTCACTGGCCATGTGGAAAATTGCAAAGCTTGAAAAAGTCAAGATAGTTGTTATAAATGATATCAAAGAGTGGAGAAGTGAGTAAATATTAGGAATAAAATTGGCACAGCAACATTCGCCAATATTTCAATACGCTTTAAAAGTATCATTTCAAAAGTTTTGTGATATGCTATTTAAAATTTAGTACAATTTCAAAAGTTTTCTGATAAGTTAAGATATTATAATTTACTTGTTTTAAATTCTAAATTTGATTCATTCATGGAAATGAAATGAAGTTTTAATTAATTTCATTCAGAAATATTTTTCTCATCATTTTCTCTATTTTCCAAAATTTGAATTTTTTCATATTTTTGAAATGAAAACTTTTTAGTGCTGCAAAATTGTAACAGAAAGAAGCATTGCTCGATGATTTCAACATCTACATTTAATAGGCACTAATTAATTACTCCACTTAATCAAACTTTAAGAAAATAGGAGGAAAATGATAGGAAACAATTATTGATTATCCCATAGCAATTTCATTTTATTTCTATCAATATATCAAATTAGAATCGATATCTAAAAATAATCAAGCATAACAACTAATCACATCTAACAATTCAAATTCTAAAATTAATTCCATTTTGCTAAATGTTACATCATCTTTTCTTTTTCAAACAAAAATTTTATGAATTAAAAGAAAAAAAAAAAAGGAAGGCTTACAGTTCAAAACGAATAGTGATATCATCATCGTAATTGTAAAGGATTGATACCGGCTTAACGAATTCAATCAGTTCACCTCGTTGACCAACCGTTGGAACACTTTCTGTATTTCCAGTTTGCGAACTGCTAGAAGCTCGGTCATTACCGCTCAAACATCCCTTTATCGCTGTCCATTTACAACAATATAGTTTATTAAATGTTTGCTGAAATGATCAAATTCACCACCGATGAATCAACAGCTCACACGAGAAAAATTTTATAATATTTTTAAATAGCTCTATCTAATTTTCCTATAAAAGAATATCAATTAATTACCTTAAAATAACTTTCATGAAATTGATAGGAAATATGAAGACTGTATTCATTGATTGCATTCATACCACCACCACCACTACCAATACCACTGTCACCACAAAAATTATCCATTTGTAACCATCGTTTCATTTTTCAAATTTTTAAAAATATAAGCTTAAAAAAAAATTGCGGTAAAAAAAAAAGGACAAATTCATATATGTTCAAATGATAGAATGATATTTTTTATCAACATTTATACACATATGGTGAACACATTTTTATTATGATTATAAAGAGATGAAATTTTTTTAAATTTCTGCTCCAATTTTTTTCTCTCTTTTCCTCCTCTTTTTCCTCTATTAGAAAAAAAAAAATGCTATTTAATTAGAATAAATTTATGAATTCAATTCGTTTACCAATCGAAATAAATTTTTTTTCCTTTTTTTTTTTTAAAAAAAAACCTCACATAAACATATAAAGAGAAGGGAAGAAAAAAAAAAACAATTTTTCACATATACTTTCGTTACATTTGTTTGTACGAATGATTTGTTTTTATTTCTTTCTAATTTTGTTTTTTTTTTTTGACTTATGAGAAAATTTTATTTGAATTTTTTAAATCTGCGTTCAGATTGAAAATAATGCTAATTGCATTTGGATCATATTTATTCTTATTTAACTTAATAGTTTATTCGTTTTTTCTTTTCACTCAAAGAAATCATTTTAAAATTAAGATGGATACGATGAAATTTTACATATGCAATAATTTTTTTTCTTACGCAATGAAATTTTGATCGTTTTAAAATATACGCTTAGATTCTATGCAATAGTTTTAGAGAGGGAAAAGGAGAGGGAAAGAGAGAGAGAGAGAGAGAGAGAGAGAGAGAGAGAGAGAGAGAGAGAGAGAGAGAGAAAGAGAAAATTCAGATTTTAAATTGCTATCATCAATTTATTTATCTTTTCCATGATAAAACAATTAAAAACCATGATTTATTTATTAACAATCTTTAACTGTAACCACTTGAAATATTTTTGATTGAAGATTTAACTTAACAATAATTCAATTAAAGCAAAATAATTCCAACATAAAAATAATGCTCAAATTAATTAAAGACAAAATTATCACGGTGAAAAATTTTGCTTTCTTTTTTAATTGTTCATTGTTTGTAAAAAAAAAAAAATAGACAACACACAACAACGATTTAGTAAAATGTAATCAATTTTGTGAAGGCTTCTTTTTTTCTTTTTTAGGCAAAGGAAAAAAAAAAGACAACGAACTTTAAAGTGTTATAAAATGTTAATGAGACTTTTCAAATCCTTTTTACAATGAAGAAACCAGAAAAGGAGGACAAAATAAACGAGAAGAATAGTAAGAAAAATAAAATGGTCTCCGAAATTTCACAATTATAAATGTATAATTTTGTGTGTGTGTGTGTGTGTGAGAGAGAGAGAGAGAGAGAGAGAGAGAGAGAGAGAGAGAGAGAGAGAGAGAGAGGGAGAGAGTGAATAAATGATGAACTATGATTACACAATAATAAAAATGATAAATTGTTTATTTAGAATAGCTTGAAAATTTTAATTATGAAATAACATTCTACACTTCTCCATTAAGCAATTACATGAATAAATGATGAAATAATAAATTTCAAAGCATTGCTTTAATAAAAGTAAGGAATTAAAAAGGATGAGTGAAAATGGAGGAGTTAGAAGTGTGACAGAGAAAGGCATAGTCAGAAGCGAAAATGACCACAACGATGACAATGGACAATCAATGAAATAAATGGTCATTCATGAAATCCTTCACATTTGGCTATTTATATATTTTAAGAATTAACTGTACTGCAAATGAAATTTCATTCTTAAATGCCAAATTTTGAATTTAGAATTTTCCCTTGTGTTGTCGGGATTTTAATAATTGAATTAAAGGCGATAATTTTTGCGCGCACATAATCAGATTAAATAGTGAAGATTTAATTAAATAATTCATCTGGTTTTGAACAGACAACATTACGAAAGCTTAAAAATGCATCCTAAAAGTTTTAAATTCAAATATTTTGATAGAAAAAGCATTAAAAGAAATGCAAAAGTATTGCGAAGGCTAATTTACAAATTAATGAATTTGTTTGATTTTGCTTAATACGAATTAATTAAAAATAAAACTGCTATATAATTTTAATTTTATTTTTTCACCAAAAATGTGTTATCAAAAGGTGTCCTTCAATCTACATCACTTTTTTATCGTAAAGTAAATATCCGCCAAAACTTAATAACTGATAACAAAATTTATAAATCATCAAAAACACATGCCTTGCACTTTATTCATATTAACAAATTAGAACTGAAATTATTAAAAAATTGAATTTAAATCGAAAAATCAAACATATTAACATGAAGTAAATATGCGTCAAATATGATGATGTTAAAAATTTTATTTTATCTATTTCTTTCCATCAATTATGATATGATTGCATTTCTTTGAGAGAGCATTTTATAACTGCATATTCAAAATGGAATAATTAAGTTCGTATGAAATTCTGACATAAAACAATTAGAACAATCTTTTTTACACCTAAAATTAGCACATGATAAGCTTTAAAGTGTTTCACAGAAAATAATTGAAATTTTTCAAAATAAACAAAATTGCTAGTGATGTCCTATCCATCGTTGAATTTTCCACATATAACACTTTTCAACTACGTCTTTGTTTTCTGTCTCTCTCTCTCTCTCTCTTCCTCTCTCTCTCTCTTCCTCTCTCTCTCTCTCCTCATATATATAACATATCAATTTGACCCCCTAAATTACAATATATTCTATTTGAAACATAAAACGTATCAATGAAATTTAAATTCAAATAATACATTTCGCCAATATAAACTATTTAAAAATAACACATTAGATTGCTCACAAAATGCATATATTTATTATATATTGTAAAAAAATTTCATCAAACATTATTTTATTTTAATTTAAGACATTTAAAATTTTCAAACAATAATAACAGTATGCTTTTTCTATTTAAAAAGACAAATTAATTTAAATATGATTGAAATTTTAAAAATTCTCAAAATTTAAAATGAAAAAATGATGAAAATTCAAAATTGCAATGATAAACATTTGCAAAGAGGTTTGAATGAATTCTGACTAACAATGAATCATCAATCTGTCACAAAACCACTCATTGTATCATATGAATAAAAAAAAAAAAATTTATATGGTGATATATCGAGAATGAGAATGATTGAAAAAGTGTAATAGAAAATAAAATAGCCAATATCATTTAATTTTCTATGATACAATTCAAACATTCAAATACGTTACATTCGAGAAATATTTGTTCGTTAAAGAAACAAAAAGAAATAAAAATTTATTTTTAAAGAAAATTCAATATTTAATTTCAACACTTAATTGGTTATAGTATTAATTTAAAAAAGAATAAATTATTTTCGAAGATTGATAATTTTTGCCAGTTGACAGTGTGAAATAAAAGTTCTTTGAAAAGTACTCAAATTTGAATATCTTTATAATTATCTGTTGAAAACAAAAAAAAAAAAGGCTATTAAATTTTATGATGTATTCGTGACAAGAATTTTTTTCTGATCCTTTATACTATGGGAAAAATAGGTTTGAGGCATGAAAGAATTTTACATTTGCTAATTGATGATATTCTTGAAAATATATAAGCATAAATGCATTTTTTTTGCGTAAGCTGCACGTATTATTATTATTTTTTTTTGAGGATGAAATTATTTTCAAAGATTATTAACTTTTGTCAGTTGAGAGTATCTGTTTAAAATAATTACGATAATGTATTAATCTGTCTTTTATCAAGATAATGCTGTATATTGTTTCATAATGTTTCCGTGACAATCTTTTCGAGAACATTTATTGTATTTTAAAATAGACAGACGGATAGATGGAGAAAACGGACAAACATGCAACGGTTATAAATGATAAATGAAAGTGATAGCAATAATACGGCAAAATTTTGTTGATTTAATAATAAAAAAAAAAAATATCAAAATTATATGGAAGTTTTTTAGTGGAAGGATAATTTATGCGTATGGTAAGAAAAAAAATCAATAATATATTAATTTATTAATTTTAGAATTGTTAGATGAGCGAAAGTTAGATAGATTTGCTCGAGAAAGAGTTAGTTGCAGAT